ATGACTGCCACGTTTCTTGAATCTAGCATTATTATTTTTTCAAATATTTTAGTATTGTATGGTAGCAACCCGAACCAATGCAGCCATTTCATTGAATTTTATATGTAGAATATAATCAGAGTATATTATGTAGACACACGTATACAAATATTTCGAAATATTTAAGAACAGGTCTTTGAATTGTATGGTAGCTACCCGAACACGCTATCCCAACTAGTAAATTTACAATAGGGTCCGTTCTTGGAACAAAAAAACAAAGCAACTTGTAAAAGTTTGCTCCCGTTTGAATTATTTGTTTTTGAGTTATCGAGCGATCGGACGGACATGTTTAAATGAAAATTTTAGGCTGAGCAAGAAAATATATACACGTTTATACCGGAGACAATCTCTTCAAGTGGTTCAAACTCCATACCAAAATTAATATGTACCTTTCACGAAGGTGCAGGGTATATACTTAAGTTATATAAGTAATATTATACATAAATACAGGTATAAATAGTTAGTGTATTATTCTTGTACAAAAAAAACTTCATAGTTGTTTTCATAAAGAAAAAAAAAATAGGAAATTTATATTTCAAAGGATAATTGGTTTTAAGTTTATTTTTTTCATAGTTAGTTAGTTTGGTTAGCATGTACATACATACATATTGTATGTATACGTTTCATAGTTTGTTTAAGAATTTTATATCTATATGAAATTAATGTAGGTATACGTGTATGTATCGTACCTTTATAAATAAAATTTTGTTAAAAATTGAAATTCATTATTGACTATAGCAATTAAATTAACTTATCGGAAGTTTTTATTAATAATTGGATTATATCGTATAAAATGAACTCAATAGTTCATTAATATAAATGTGTATAATATTATGTACACCTTAAGTATATAATGCCGTAGATATTATGTGTCGAATGTCTTTGGAAATAGATATTGGTTTTTTTTTGACAAGTTCTATTTTAAATAAATTGCATGTATTCAGTGTATTTCATTAGAAAATTAAGATTAATACGGTAAAATTAAATTACAAAAAATTTGTATAAATAGAAAAAAAAAATTAATTTTTAATTTAAACTATTGGACATATGCAGTTTGTACACATGACATCTATAGTAGTTCATGGTAATCAAAGTTAAATGCAAAATTAATTGCAAAAAATCGGAATATTAGTGAAGTAAATTGGAGAAAATTAATATACAGGGACCTTCACATAGGTTCAAAATTCAATTCATTAATCAATAATACAATAATTTTCATCATTATAGAACGGTATTTAGTATATATACACTTTATCATCAAAGCTGGAAAGAGTTGGAAGTCACATTTTTTTGATTATCATTTAATTAACCGTGTCAGCTGTAATTCGAAAAAAAGAGAGTGTCAGTAATTCGAAAAAACTATTTTGTGAATATATTTGCAAGACAATAATAAAATTAATGGTCTTGCCTTGTTTTTCAATATATTAAATATTGCAACTTCGTATGGTTACGGAATATATCCAGGATCTAATTGTTCGACAATAATAAAAAGCAGTTCCAAATTCTTAAAATTATAAAAAAAAAATGTTTACCACAAAAAATGGAACAGATGGAATTCTTGAGTGTAATTTAAAATCTCATATGAAACTGCCAAATATAGGAAGAAATAAGCTTATTGAATGTTATCCCACCAGAAAGAGTTGGTATAGTAGAAAGAATTGAAAACTCTTACTGTCACAGATGCCATGGAAATATGTTTATTGGAGAACTTTCAAACATGTTCGGATATGTTATGGGTTTTAAACATTTTTTATTCCGATTTGGATGTAAACACAAAGGGTAAAATTCCTCCATTCCCCTTATTTAGAATAAGTACTTAAGAGTTATTTTTAAAAAATTACTCAAGTACTTAATTATTCTAGGAAATCGAGAAACTAAGTATTTCATTAATTCAAAATTATGGTATGCTAAAATTTAAGGATATGAAAAATTCATTCGAAAGTATACAAAAAAAATTTTTTTAAGTAATATTACAATCTACTTACAAGTTATTTAAAATTTACATTAGTTATCAGTTTTAATCTATGTATGTGTAATTAATAGGCTTTTCCTTTTTTTTTTGTATAGTAAAATTCATTATAACATAATGAGAATTCTACAAGTATTTAACCAATATTACATAACTATTACATTAACAAAAATGTGCTTAAAATAAAATAATAAATTTTTAATAAGATGTGTTTTTTTTTTCCTAAATTTCAAGTTTATCTAGTTTCTAAATAATAGGTTGGTATTTCAAATACATATATATACGCATATTATGTAGCATATAGTGAATACGCTTATGTCTAAGTAATATTAAATTTTTAATAAGAAAATTAAAATCTATTACGTATTTTTAAAAGTAGTTGTTATACTTATTATACATTCTTAGAAATACAAATAATATACATCAATATTTTTTTATATTATTCATGTTATACTTAAAATCCTTTATTTATTTTTAGAAAAATTTTTACAAAATTTTATTATTAATTACAGTTATTGAGGTATGTAGGGGGATGTGCTATATTATTAATATTTTAAGTTCATTTTTCATTTGAAATAATTTTTAGAATTAAAAACAAGACTAAAAGCAAAATGAACTTTCAAGTTTCTACAATTTTCGCTCATTTTCGCCAAATTTTCGCCCAAATTAATTACATATAAATATAACTCTAGCTTTCAACAGGTAATGCTTTTCGTGTCACTAAAACATGTTGTACAAGAGTCAGAAGCTATTTGAAAGTTTTCTTGGCAAATCTTTGGTTTTCGATCAATCTCATGTTTACGGAACTATTGAGCAACAATTTTTGTATAATTGTTCAACATCTTTCCATTCTGCTGTTGTAGAATTTCTGTTGTTCTGTTATTGTATAACAATCTACTGCGGCAAAACCACGGAAAATTTGTAATTTTGACAATCTCAGAAAAGTAACAGCTTTAATTAATTTATCTAAAAAGATATAAACCGCCTGATAAATCGATCCTACAAAGTAGTTTTTCAAATATCTCAAATCTTATTCCCATTTCTTGAGGACTTCGAGAAATCTTTAAAATAACTTTTCGGAAATTATTATTTCCTCCCAAAGTTATGCAAGAACAAGTTCCTCCTGAATATATGCAATATTATTACAAATATTATAGAACTATATAAGTATGTATACATACATGTTCTCAATTTGAATAATATTGTTAAAAATCGAAATGTGCTTTTTCATAAACCATGATCTGAATCTACTGCAATTTTTCTTTATTATTATTTGTTGTAAATTTAATTCTCTCTCAATTATTATTATTTTTATGCTAAATAATTTACTGTTCATGTTATATACATATTTTATGAATATAGTCAACTACTTATATTTGTTTTTGTGAATCTTAACAATAGAAAAGTTTCAAATGATTTCGGTTTTTTTGGTTACTATTGTAAGTGTGTATATAATATAGACAATTTCACAAATCAGATAAAAGATTTTACTTTCAAAAAATTGGTTAACAATAAAAGAAATTAAAAAAATCTTTCATTTGCATTGATAAATGATACTGGCAACAATGTACCATTTAGTTTAAAATATTCGCAAAATTAAGAAAATGTTAAAGAATTTCTAGTTATATTTGATTTTTTATGTTAAATTTGTTCAAATGTGTTCTATATACTTATATTCTCGATAAATAATTGTAATTAATTTTGTTTTTTAAAGAATTTTATGATTATTTAGTATAAGAATTTAAGATTTCTTATTTGTTATAATCATTCATTTATTTTGCGTCATTGAATAATCACAAAATTCTAACAAACAAATTCCGCATTAGTCTACATAGTTGTCATCAAATTTTTTGTTGAGGGCATAAAGTTAAATTTTTGCGATAAGTGAGCAATATTCATTTAAATATCAAAACTAATAATTTAATGAGAATTTATAAAATGGGAATTCGGAAAATTTGAGCGAAAGTAGTAAAGATGGAAGAGTAATTTTTCAGAGTGTACGAAAAAAAAAATACTAATCAAAAAAATGACGAAGTATTTAAACAAAATTTCTTGTAATTACAGTTAAGTAGGGATCCGATTACAATAAATAAATTTATACAATATAATAAATATTTTGAATTAAATTCGAAGTTACATATTATATATAAGTATATTTATTTGAGCCTAATATATAAGTATATATTGAAACGAGTGCATATTTATTATATTAGATTTGGAATTTGGGAAAAAATGTATAGTGAAAGTGTTATATTTATTCTAATAATAAGTTTTTGTTATATTTACCAGCATAAGCATATATATATATATATAATTATTTATATCTATGTTAATAACCTTTTTTTATATAATTAAGGTTTTAATGTGATAAAATAATTTTCAATTAATAAATAATATTAAAATAATAGTAATAATAGATCACAATTATCTATCTTATAATAATTTTTCAATTATGAAAATTAAATTAATTAATTTCATAAATTTTTAAAAATTATATTCAAGTAGGTCTTAACAATGTGAATACAATAAAATTTTTTTTTTTGTACTTTAAAATTTAATTAAATTTATATTATTTATGAAAACAAAAATTCAAATAAAATCAATTTTTCATTATTTTACCTCAATCATAATAACATTTATGTATAAAAGGCAAAAACAAAAAAAATTTTAGCGAAAAATATAGCGACAAAAAATAAAATATTCTTTGTGTATATAATTTTTTTTTTTAAATAATTTATTTAATTAAAATTTTAATAATTAAATTATATTCTTATATTTTCGTATAACACATACCTATTACAAAATATAAATAGAATTTACAAAGAAGTATATAAGTACATACATACATACATGTAGTATATAATATATGTACATGTATGTAATATAAATAATGCAAAATAAATTTAATTAATGCAAAAAAATATTATTAAAAAAAAAAATAATAATTAAAATATTAAAATAATAATGAAATTAACAAAAAAATATTTATTACCGTTAGAACTGCTTTTTTGTTTTTGTTCAACAATTTTTTTCTCGGTGTATTTTTTTTTGTATTTTCTCCTGCGTCCTTTTTGTTTTTGTTTTTTTTTTTTTAAATTAAATTAATGTACATGGTATATTTAATATTCAATATTTTTATAATTTCATTTAGATTATAAATTAATTTTTTTTTTTATATTATATTTGTATATACATAAAATAATGAACATACACACTTACTTATTTAAATATTATAGTTAATTTATTATTATAGATTTTATATGTAAATCAATTTTATTCATTAACAAATGATTCACATTTATTATACTGATATTTTTTTTTTGTTTCCACAATATTTTTATTTTCTCTTTTAAAAATTTCTATTGATTGTATTAAAAATAATAATTCATAAATTTTTTTTAATAATTAATCAAAATAATCAAATCACCATAATTTTTTAACTACATATATATATATATATATGTATATATATATTAAATATTATTATTAATAAAAATTACTTTATTATTTTAAATAACACTTTAAAAATTTTAATTAGATTTTATAAAAATTTCAGATATACATGAATATTAGTATAACATTTTAATTATTTTATTATTTTTTTTTTATTTTTAATTACATATAATTTTAATAATTATTATTTCATTATTTAATTATGAATTTATTATAATTTTACATTTATGTAATAATCGGAATTTGATGATCTTTTAACATTGAATTTTTAATATCTTAAATTTAATAATATAAATTTTAATAATATTATTTTTCTCCCATACCACAGAAAAATTTATACATTTATTTTAAGTGAAATTTTAATAATATTCAGTTTTATATTTTAATTTATTTCTTCATTTTTTTTCTTTATTTTCTGTTATATATTGAATTTAATGTTGTATATATTATGAATTTTATTAAAATATGATAACTTTGATATGAAAATTATTTTTCAATATTTTTATTTGATTTTCTATTCTTAAGTGAGGATTTATGTTTGATTTTTATAATACTTATATTATATATTACATTCCTCTTGTTCCTTTAATTCAAATATTTTCTTAATAATATATATATATATATACATTAAATATATTAATAATAAATTATTCTTGATATGGTATCATATATTATGATTATCATAAATTTAAAATTATTATTGAATATATTTGATAGTAAATATTTTTTCTCTGATATACTCGTAAAATAGAATATCACTGAATTTCTTTTACATATATTTATTTTTTAAATAATTATTTTTATTAAATTTTAAATTATTTTTCATGAAATTTTCAATTATTCTAGTAAATTTATTCAAAATAAATTCTAAATTAAAATTTATAGTATAATATTGTATATTTTTTCTTTTTATAATAATATTTTTTTTTGGAGAAAATCCTCATATATCACTGTTATTTATTATTTAGTATATAAAGGAAATATAACAATTTTTATTTTATAACTGTATTTATTATAATATTTTCGAATATAATAAAAATCAAAGTGAAAAATTATTATATTACTATTTGTTTGAACTGAAATAGATTTACAATTTTATTAAATATTATACATATGTATAAATATATATATATAAGAAATTCTTATTTCAATTTTAATATTTTTTTTAACGAACACAAAATTTCCAAAGTAAAAATTTTTATGAAAAAAAATTTACGAAATTAAGAATATGAAACGAATAACTCGATACACGAATAAGTTTATTATCGTTCCGTAAAATAAGAAATCAGTAAAGGCAAAACAAAAAAAATCCTTTATATCCTCTTTTATATATATATATATATATATATATATATATTATTAATCAAAAAAAAAAAACTGCTTCCTCTTTTTTTTTGCTTGGAATATTTTTATTTTTTTTACTATAGTAACGGTATTATTATATTCGTATAATAATTTTTTTTCTTCTTCTTGTTTTTTTTTTTTTAAATGAAAATTAAAACAAAAACGATAAACGACACAAGGCGAACAATATAATCGTTTAAAGGTTTCGTCACTACTGTTGCAACTTGAAAAATTTTTAACTTACAAAAATTTATATATATTTTTTTTTTTTTATTATTATTTTTCTGACTTGATTTTCGTCTCTGTGTATACCATATTTTTATGTTATACCAAAATATTAACCACTAAAAAAAACAACAACAACATTTAACATATAAGAACAAATCATATAAAAAAATATAAAATAAATATACCAAAAACCAATATTGTATTTTATAATACGAAAGTGAGAATTTTAAAATTCAGTATAACAGTTATAACAGTTTAGTATAACAGTTATAACAGTTTCATACAATATTTCAGAGAAATAAATTTACAGAGAGAGAGAGAGAGCGAGAAATATGAAAATGTTGAAACAAGAATTTTATGTTAAACGAATAGAGCATTGTTATGTTTCCAACATTAAAAATTAAATAAAAGAATTTTCTCAATTTCTTAATATGAATATTACGGAAAAAGTTCTCGTCTACTCGTTTATTATGAATATAAGAGAATAATTATAAAATTGCGATTTAAAAGCGCAAGACTTTTATACACAGCAAAAAAATAAAATTGTTATCAACAAATATTTTTTTTTTGCTTTTGTACTCGTAAAACTTTAATTTTGTTAAAACTTTTTATTTGTAACATGTGATTAGAAAATTTTTTTGTATAACATTATCTAAATATGTATATAGATATTTTAATTTTTTACTCGTAAAATTTTATTCAGCTGAGTAAAACAACATAATGTAATTACAAAAAAATGTATAGAGAATTTTTTAGTTCTTTCTGAATAATACAAAAACAGCAACTTTTTGTTTTTTTGAATATTTCGCAACAAGATTATTAAATTCTTTAGCAACAAATCCTTAATATTAAAGGAATGTTTCTCAACAAATGCAATATAATGAATAATGAAAAAAAGAACAGCCCAAAATTGGTGAAAGAAATGAAAATAAAACGAGTGCTTAAGATTTTAGAATATTTTATTATACAAGACAAGAATAAAGTAAGAATTAACAACGAAAACTGTTATAATAAAAGAGGAGAATAGTTCATGTAATAATTCCGCGAGTATTAGAAAAAATTGAGAGAATAATCTGTAGAAAAAAATTGAGAATTTTTTACACATTCTGTTATGTATTATTTTAGTTTTCTTTACAAAAATTCTGTTATGTTAATTTAATTTTAAAGATATTAGGAACTCTAGGAATTTAGCGATTTTTTGTTTTATTCTATCTTGCATTGAATATTTTTCTTTGTTGATAATAATTTTATTAAAGGTTATCACGTACGAAAGTGTGTTAAATTTATTGGGTCGTCATAAATTTTTTTGGTTAATGAAACGACTTTTCAAGCGATGTAAAGTTCCTCGGGTCCATAAGAAATTCAGGCGAAAACTTCACGAAAGTAATGTGATCAGAAAGGTACAAATATCACTTTAGACGTGCAAGCATCTCTGTGAAAAAACATAAAGTGTCAGTTCAAAAGGCAATCAATATATATATTTACCAATATTGTACGAACTGTGCTCATATCTATGCTACTCTTGTCAGGTCGGAGAAGACCTTTCAAATGATAACGCAAAATAAACTGCAGAGTCTTCGAAATGTTGCATATAGTCTTTACTCGGGGATTTCGTGTAGGTTTTCCAAATAACGAAAGGAGGAACGAAGATAAGCCAGGACGGGCAGACATGGAGTGTTATACAAATAGATACAAAACTGATTATGACTTCGAATATTTCTAATTAAATTATTATTAATTTATTATTGCACTAACTCAAAAACCGTATTTATAAATTTTAAATAATCTTTAATCGATTAAACTGTTAAAAACGTTAACAGTTAAAATTATGTTATATGTTTAATTAAACTGTTATATTATACTTCTAAACTGTTATACTGTTTTGATTGTAATAAATAATGTAAAATTAGTACTTGAATATAGTTTTGAGTATGCATGTTTTTATATCTACATTATACCTGTATTTATTACATCTACATACATACATACATTATTTTTATACCACTCTTAACTACTATTTATATAACACATTCATTTATACAAATAAAGTTTATTTTGTAGATTTGTAAAAGAGGACATTCTCTATTTTATACTTATTTTATTATTCCGTTATTGATTTTACAGTGCTGCAGTAAAATAAACAAAAAACTAAAAAAACAAAAAAAAATAAATAAATATTAAGAAAAAAACAAACAAACAAAATTGTTTTTCTTTTTTTATTCTCATATTATTTTTTTTTATGTATGCTATGAACATAATGTTGACACACTATAAAAAATTCACTCTGCACTGTTATAAGTGAAAAAAAAAAACTTTTTTTATTTTTGGTGTTTTATAAAATTGTGCTGTATGATATTTTTTTACCTGTACTTTTATCAACACATTTGACATGTAAAAATTTTTCGGTGAGAGATTAAATTTTTTTTGTTATTATTTGTTTTCTGTTTTGTTATTATTCTGTTATATTTTATGCCTTCCGTCTGTTATTATGTTTTGTTGGGTGCTTACTTTATGGTTTAATTCTGGTTGTTATGTTTTTAAAGTTATGAAAATGTAATGGTTAATTTTGTTTTACAGAAGAAGAAAAGAGACAATGTAAAACAATAAGACCAAAAGGAAAGAAAAATTAAGAACAGAAAACGTATAGAAACGAAGGTGATTGTTTTGATTCTATTTTACATAATGAAATACAATATACACACATATACAAATATGTTTATTATTATGTTTATGTATAAAATAAATTGTATACCATACACACAAATTACATATTATTTTATATTATAAATAAGAACGTATAATAATATTGTATTTTTATAAAAATAAAATTGTATAAAAGATAAGAGAGAAGATATTATTTTTTTTTTTATATAAGACAACTTGTAACTTTTATATTGTGTTTTGTAATAGAATAAATAAAAAAATATAAAAAGCTATAAGACAAAAAAAGTAAAACAAAACAAAGAACATACAGTATTGTTGTTTTTGTATACAATGATAATGTTGATAGATGATGATTATGATGGTGATGATGATGATTCGTTTTATGTCAATGAAAAATTCCTTATGTACTTATTACCATACCTATTTATACAGTTAAAACATAAGAATTAAAATAGATTCAAAAATATGTAAGGGGTTGTTTTTTTTAAGTCAACGCGTGTGTTTATGTTCTTATTTTAGACAATATTTTACACGTAACTCGAATTACAGTGTTGTCAATGTTAAAACAACTCATTCGGACTCATTTTACTTATTTGTCATTGACTCA